CCCCAAAACCCCAAAACCCCAAAACCCCAAAACCCCAAAATTCATAATAAAAATTGAAACTAAATGTCACTTCATTGCTCAGTAGACAGATCTAAATTCGCTTCGAATGAGTACCAGGATCCAAAATTTTCAGAAGAAATAAAGGGAGTCAGAAAATCAAAGAAGAGATTTTTGGTGAAATCCCGTAGTTCAAGTATCAGCACAAAATAACACTTTAGAATTAACGACAAGAGAGTCTAGAAATAAAAAGACAGTTAGGTTTGCACTTGATCCAGAAGGTATCCAGTATAACATATGTTTAGATTTAATAGAGCAAACCAACTTCTCTAAACGGTCCTTATGCAATCTTAAGCCAAAAGAATTCAAAATTCTTTCATGTATGGTACATGATAAATGATTGTATTAGTGCCTTTGAAAACTAATAAGAAAAATAAAAATACAATAAAAAGAAGTCAGAGTCATCTATTAATGCAAAAAGATTGTGGAAAGTAAGGGTTATTCCCAAACTGTAGGTTTAAAAATGGAAATTTAGCTTTAATAAAATAAAAATATTCCTAAATTTCTCAAGACAAAGTCAAATATTCAACAGATCAGACAAAGGATTAAGAATAGTCAGCCTTCTCTTAGTACAGGGTTATCACACTACCTATAGTCAATAAGTTCAGAGCTAAATATCCCATAAACATAATCCAAAATAAATCAACCATCAATATTAATGAAAAGAAAGTGATTAGTACTTCAAGCTTAAAGAATTTTAAATTTGGTTGTCAGAATGAGAAAGAGGAGCAGAATCTGTCACAGCTTAGAGAGTCACAGACATATGATTCAAGAGTTTCAGACTGAGAAGTCTTTTTGCAGAAGTATTAGCTTTTTGATAAAGATATAGAGAGTTCAAGCCACAAGTTCCTTGTCCTTATAAACACATATGGAAGGGAAGTAGCTACAAACCTCCCAGAAACTCAACGTATGATAATTATTTTAATAACTATAGGGAAGTTAATAGCCCTCGAGGGGCTGGTAAACTCACTCCTGAATTCTACAAAGCTCTTCTCAGGCATGGGACTTCCATGCGTGAAAGCACTAAGGAGAAGAGTTTGCTTTCTATGCGCGCTAGTATCAGCCCTAATGAGTATTCCACACAAACTTCTATTGAACGACAAAGCCAGAAGTCTTATTTTCAGTCATATCTCCATTGACCAACTTTTAGAAAGAATAAGGTAGATTTCCTGGTAAACTATAGTCAACAATCAGAAAGGTTCGTCCTCAGACAGGCAGAAGTGTAAGTGGAAACTATTCAAAACTTTAGAGGAAGCTTTTGAAAGAAAGACTCAACGAGTCCCATGTAAACTTCTTTAATTAACCAATGCACTTTTATCCTGAGATTTCATTTTATTTTATTTGACAAAGGATGTAATTGGCAGAATTTGAAGAGTTTAAGTAGCTTCTTGTTTAAGTTTTCTGAATTACCATAAAAATTCATGCTTTGTTACTTAATTTCAACAAAATTGTAATTTAAAGGGGTTTTGGGGTTTTGGGGTTTTGGGGTTTTGGGGTTTTGGGGTTTTGGGG